TAATTCTACATTACTTAGTCTTATAAAAATGTGTTAATATTTTGTATATATAATTTATGTATATATTTTAAAAATATAACTTTTTTTATGTTAAGAGATAGTTACATAAATAATTATATAAAATCATTACAATTGATATAAATACATAACATGAAATACTTCATTATTGATTAAATATTACTTTTATAGAATTAATTCATTCCTAATATATTAATAAAAAATATAAAAATAACATAAAAATATAATGAAATAATATCAATGTGTACAAAAAATTAATATATATAATGAATCCATATATTTTTTTAAGATCGAATTATACAAGCAAAAGTTACCTATTATTAAATTTTATAGCTTCTATTATGATATACATCTATATAAATATTATTATTTTAATATTTTTAATTTAAAAACTGAAAAATCAAAATAATGAAAGGACAAATGATATAAGAACTAATATAACAAGTACTAATGAAATACAGAATATTTTATCGGAAAACTTGTAAAAAGTATTAGAGAACATTAAGGAAAATAAAAAATTATATACATCTAATAATGTAATATATTTAATTTCTCGTATTTTAAAGCGAGCTGGTGATACATGTATAAATTTCAAAAAAAATTGTACAGATAAGGAAAATTTTTATAAAATTGAAATCTATTACAAAGAAATTAAAACTATTATTAATGAGATCTATACAAATTCCAAAATATACTTATTTATTGAAAACACAAGCAAAAATATCCAAGAAAGAATTGCAAGCACCAATAATTCTGAAGAAGTCCAAAAAATAAAAGAAGAGATAATTGATATAACTAATAAGCATACAAAAGCAGAATCTGAGTTATAGCAAGTTAATAATGCATAGAATAGAATTAAAAAAAAAAAAGGAGATGCATGCATTATTTGTATCATTATCCAAGGAGTATGAAAATAATTATAACTCTGCAAAATATTTTATGGATGGTTCCGATAATATAATAAATATCTTAGAAAATCAATTAGGAAAAATATGAAGATTAATTAATTATTATGAAAATGAAATTAATAAATTAGAAAAAGAAGTATATAATATATTATGTGCACCTGTTATTGATATTTCATAAGATGGTAAAAGAAATTGCTAATTTATATAGAAGAAGAAGAAAAAAAAAAAAAAAGAAAAATTATATAGAGAACAAGATACAAAACTATATAAAGAACAAAATCGCTCGGATGATAGTGATCTAAAGGGAGATAACAATAGTACTAAATAAAAATGGATATCATTCTAAAGGTGTTGAGAAATGATAAGGGTTTCACATTCAGGAGAAGTTATTTTAGGTTTCTTTCTATGTAATAGTATTGCATTAATTTCATTTAATCGGAATGTTGTGCAAAAGTTATGTGTTGATTCTCTAGATCAGGAATTATAGGGTGGTGGCGCTTTTAAAGGGGGGAATAAGGAAAAAGATGTTAATGTTTGTTTTGACGAGTATTATTATTCAAAAGAGAACATTCATATATACACTTATAAATATAAGAATATATTTTAGAATTCATACTAAATAGAAAAATTATAAAATGCATATTTATAAGGTATAATAAGTTAAGGTATACAGAAATGAGTTAAATAATCAAAATAAAGACTAAAAAAAAAAATATACAAATAAAATGAACACACAATAATAATTGTAATATATAAGTATATATAATATATGATAAAATTAAAAGAGAATGTTATAATAATAAAATAACAAATCTGTATTAACATATATATGACTTATAAAATTAAAATATTATTAAAACGTCAATAATTATAAATAAATGCATATAGGAATATAAAAAAATAAATATATCAACAAAAATGATACATACACATAAGAAAAACACGGAACCTAATAATTAAAAAAATGCACTAAAACCTATACACTAAACAAGGAACATGGAACATAAGCCAAAACATAAAAACATAAAAACTGTAAAATAAAAATAAACATTGGAACGATAAAAATAGAACTTAAACATTCAACACCAAAAACGTGAATCAATAAACAATGAACCCTAAATCCTGAACATATAAACTCTGAAAACTAAAACTTAAAACATAAACTCTAAAACATAAAAAATATGTTGCTTGTATATATATTTTTTATTTATTTAAAGAATAAGCTTGATTATATATTAGCATTTAATATCTTCACAAAAAAAATAATACTTATTATGCATAAATTGTAGAAGTGAGAAACGATATAAAAAAATAATATATATTTATATTTACCATACTATTATAATAAAATAGTGTTGCTCGCAGTTTTAGAATTATTAAATATATATTTTTGTTTCCATTTTAAACATTTATATTAGTAAAGAAATCATATATATAAAATTATAATTATATGGTATAAAATATTAGAATATATAATTCTGATTACAAAAATTAGTAATTCCTGAAGTTACTTAAAAATATATATGTGCATTATATATAAAGCAATACAGTAAAAAAAATATATATTGAAAAGGATAAAGTAAAAAGTAATATTATGTAACAATACGAATAAAATATATAATGTATATTCTACAATTTATATTTTATAACTATATCATTATTATTTTAATAAATATATATATTGCTTTAAGCAATATATATAAATTATTAGAATTATAAAATTTTCATTAGAATATAGTAACTGATTCACAATTCCAATAACAGCATTGCTTTTATACATATGATAAAGAAATAAGATTATTATATATGTTATATTAATAAATGATTAATATATATATATATACAATTATATAATATGGGATGATATCAATTACAAATATTAGATTCAATATTGTATACGTACATTTTTGACAATTCTATGTAACTTTTTGAAGTATAATGAACTAAAATACACAATATTTATAATTGTCTTTCATTTTTTATATATTATTAGTAAATTTATATGTTTAAGTCTATTAATTCTAAAAACTGATTTTTAAAAATATTCTAAAAATTATATTCATAAATATAATCCCTAAAAAAAATAAACCTAGTACATTATAACTACAAGAATTAATATACAATAGAATATATCTAAATAAGATAACTAAAAAATATATTTATATTATAAAAATATGTTTCGTTTATTTTCTTATAGAAGATAATTTGTTATTATTTAAATTCTATATGTATACCATTAATACAAAGGTATAATTTATTATCGAAATTATCATTATTTTTTACTGCCATGAATATATTTTTCATGTCATATATTTATGTTAACTTACGCTTTCACTGTTCCAGTATAATGACATAACATATATTAATATACGCTTACAAAATTTTTAAAAATATGAATTCAAAAATTCTGTAAACACATATATATATATGATTTAATAAATATGGCATAAATATAATAATTATTAGTAAATTATGAACAGAAAATAATCTGTAGTAAATAAAGTATATATTTATTTATAAGAATTCATTCACTTATGACATAATGGCTGATCCCACACATGAGAGTCCAAATGTATTTTTCTATTTGCAATAATTAATATATTTTTTATAATTTAAAAAATCGTTTTCTATAATGTATATGCATAAGGTTTTTCTTTAATGTATTACTATAAATTACTAATACATGATAATATTTTTTTTTAGTTCGATTTTAAGGATATATTTCCTAATTGTATCAAGGAGTATAATGATATTAAAAAAGTAAAGGATCAAGACGATTTTAATTCAGATGAATTTTTTCTAGTATGCCGTAAAATTGAAAGGCAATTAGAAATTAAAATGGATAATTTTAAATTGTTTTGTGTTTTCTTTAGTAACTACTTGCAACATATAAATACAAAAGGAGGGATTGAAAAAGAACCATATTGTAAGTATTTCAATTACCTTATAAAATATTTACTATATAATCATCCAGGATCATCTTGTTCTGAAGAAAGAGACTGTTATAATAAAATGATAAACATATTCGAAGGAGATAGAAAGAATGACATGAATATATGTGTTCCTTATGTAAATGATCTTGAAGAAAACGTATATAAATTATTGGATTATCTGAATTACCTTTATAATTATCTTGAAAAATTAAGAACACACTATATAACATGTGAATCCAATACCCATTGCTTTCAAAATTATACAGATTTCTTAAGAATGTGCAAAGAAATGAATAATAATAGTTTAAAAGTAGTGATGAATATGGTTAAAGATGAATACAAACAATATATTCCAATAGAACCTGAAACCATACATATCACGAAGAAGTTACAATCATCCTCTATGATAAGTGCACCAAAGGTGATTATAATTGTATGTATTATTACACTTACAACAACGTTTATTCCGTTTATTCTGTTTAAGGTTAATAATAAATTATATCTATATATTGTACATTATATTAAAAATTGTATTACACATTATTTTAATATTATATATCCAAAATTATTGTGTAGATAATAAATACATGATGCTTCTTTATAAACAGAACACATCTTGTCGCTTATATATAGAAAAAATGATAAGGAAGTTAAAAAAATTTTGGCACAAAAAAAGTAAACAAAATTTAAAATTATTAAATCAATTTGAAAATGATTTTGAAGAATTAATGGATAAAAATTCACAAATAATATATAACACTTTATACTACCCCTAAAAAAGGTATAATAACAATTAATAACTCATCTTTTTTATTTTAATAATATAATAAATTATTAAAAATACTATTGTGTACAAAATTAAAATACTGAAATAAATAATTATAGGAGCAAAAATATTTAAAATTAATGACAAAATATGAAAAAAAATACATGGTAATATTAATTTAATTCAGAGATCAGGTTTAGGTAGCATTAGATTTTGTCATAAATAAATTATTTTTTAAATATATGATTTTGCTAATGAGTTCAATGTTAATTATTAAATATGATAAATTTTAATTTAAATAATATTCTACATTATTATATACCTCCACAGTTGGAGTGCGTAAAAATTGGAGGCATAATGAAATTAGTATACGTTATTACACTGCAAGAGAAACTTTGCACAATGGATGGAAAAAACATTAATACTATAAAATGGATTATATCCAATTTAGTACATGTGATGTTTTATAAATCTAATGAGCAGAAAGAAGTAGAAATATTTTTAAGGTAAAATATATATTTGCTGGAATAAATTATCCCTATTAGTTATTTCATTTTATTTTTATAATTTAATCTATGAATGCATATAGCTTTATACAGAATGTACATATTTTAAGAATTACTATGGATTATACTTAATATATATATAATAATGATATATTTTGTTATGTAGTAATTTATTTTTTTTCTGTTATATATTTTATTGCAAAAATATGTAGCATAGATT